AATTTCCCAGCTAGGATTGTATGACTGTTAATGGAGGTTTCCATTATTATTTGACAATAGAGTATAAATATAATTGCATCTTTTCTAGTAATTTTAAAGAAGCTTATTGAGGAAATGATCGGTCACTTTTGTAAAGCATTTAATTTATGCCAAGTACACCATTCACCGTTTCCTGTGGCCTAGTTCATCTGATGCTCTTACACCCTGAGAGGTAGGTACTGTTGTCCACACTTTATGTATGAGAGACCCTAGGATGAAAGAAGTAGGTCTTCTTCTTCAAGGAGTTGTAACTGTTCTTCTTAATGAAAAAGTCCTCCAAGAGAAATGAAATTCTAGAGGCAGCTTGCAAAGCAATCAGTCAGAGTTACTATAAAAAGCACTTGCCCAATCCTGGTCAGACCTGGCATCTGAAGTTTACCAATGCTGTCTTTCATTTCTTTTGTGTGTGTGTGTGTGTGTGTGTGTGTGTGTGTTAATTAGGCGCAGGTGAGGTTTGAACTGGTAACCCCTGGTATGGGGGGAGGGGGATAGTGTTGTAACCACTCAGCTCGGCACCCAGCTGGTTGTGTCTTTCAGATAAACATCTGTGGTCACAGCCAGATAATGGAGAGTGGCAAAGACCAATGTAATATGCAGTGACTGGAGGCGATTTTGGTCATCTGTTGAAGCTTGTCAGAGACTAGCAGGAGGTGAACAGTTTGGTGTCTCAAGTTCTTGAAGACAGAAACTTTCATAAAGGTTTTAGAGTTGATCCTCTGGCCCTGTACACTCACCCAGCCCTTTAGTTTGGCTCCTTGCCCATTACCATGACATCCCTCCTTTCAGAGACATACTGCACTCTGCGATGCAACCCACCTGTGACAGGAAGCTGCGTGTCCCCTAAACATGGGAGGGAAGGTAAAAGGTCATATTCTACAAACCTGAGGACTGTACGCTGTCCTTGTAAAGGAAGACCATTCTTGATAGCCTTATATGCTGACTTGAGTCATTTTTATTTGAATGTTACTTACAAGTGCACGAGCCCAAAATTAAATGTGTTTTATTCATGGCTTGGTACAACTCAAAAACCAAACCTAATTTACAAGTTAAATATAACTAAGACTAAAAGAACCCTAAAATATTCAAATTAGCAACGTTAATTGACTGCCATAGCTGGTGTTTGGGAATTACTGTAGGCAGCATGAGTTCTTTGTCATGGAGGGCATAGGTTCTTTGAGCTTCTCAGGCCCATTTTGTGCTGACTCAGCCCCCTCCGCCCCCTCCATACCTGCATGCACTTTTCACTTTTCCCGTGGCTTTTAAACTTGAGTGCACCAGGTTTGCAAGCCCCTGGGGGGCTTACACAAGCACCCCCAGAGTTTCTGACTCTGTAGGGATGGAACAACACCCAAGAATGTGCTTTTTCAACAAGTTTGCTGAATGTTGCTAATGCCGCTGGTCTGAGGACCAGGCTTTGGAAACCATCACCCTATTCTCATCATCAGGAGACTTTTTTCCTCACATTTAGAAGCACAGATGTCTCACTGACAAATTTACCTCCACTCCTTTCTCATTGGGCTGTAACAATGAAAGTGATTTTTTTTTTTTATTTTGCAAAAACCATGCATTGGTAGGCAAATATAAAAGCAGGTGCTGAAGTTTGAGGGCGTGCTAAGTGGAAGGTTTTCTTGGTTATGTGATAGGCCCTGATGTTCCTGGCAACGCATTGTAAAATGTTTTAGTATGTCACTGAAAAGAAAATCAAAATTATAAGTGCCAAGTCCCTGGGAATGTGTCGGTGCACCTTGATTTGAGAAACGCAGCTTGAGGTGGGCAGGATAAAACATTCTCCTGCAGGAGAAATGACACCAGACAGGCTCTTCAGCTTTGGTTATGAGTGTCAGAGCCAAGACAGAATTTTCCCCCCTTTAGCTCAATTCACTCCACCTCTGTGGAAATATTAGGTCTTTGCTACATAACATGAGATCTTTAAAACTCCTTAACTGCATGAACCTGCTGCTGTGTATTCAGGGCCGAGAGCCAGGTTGTTGAGGGGACTCCGGACCATGTCACATAAAGCACAGGCAAAGGACCTGGGGAAGACCCAGAGGGGTAGGAAGATCCTGGTTCCAATTTTTAAAAATGTGAAATGGGAACCATGGAAGAACAACTGGTCTTACTCCACAAGCAGTGGGTGGAGGAGGTAGATGGTGTAGTTCTGGGAAACCCTTCCTCATGCAGAGTCCCCCTGAGTGGGAGGGGCTGGCTAAGGAGTGTTGGGAGCAGCCTGTCTCGGAGGCTGCTTCAGTGTTCCCAAGCAACAGTTTTGTGGGATGAGCCAGGGGGTTTCCCTCCATAAAAGGCATGTTCCAAAGCTTCTTTGTATGCAGAAATTCTATAATTTGGGGTGCCCTTTAAGTTTTTCCTCCCCTCAGTTTCCAAGAATTCTCCAAAGCAAGGATGTTGAGCCTGTCTCAAACACACTCAAATGCAGCATTGCACAGTAGGTTCTCAAACATGTCCCCAGCCCTCAGACTCCTTCCCTCCACAGCCAACTGTCCCTCCCCCCAGGTTCCTCCGTCTTACCTCTGTTAGTGCTGCTGGGCCAGCTCTCCACATCTGCCATCAGTCACGTGCCCTACACGTGTCATCTTTGCCTTTCCCTTTCTGTTGCTCACCATCACTCCTATTCTGACGTTAATAGCAACCTGCTGGATTTGCTGCTTTCCATTCTGAGCCTCTTTAATCCACTTGTACAAAATGCTCCCTGAACTACTCCCTGAATTATTTGGCCATAGAGCTTTTTATTCACCTACCATCTTTTCACGCCCTGGGGATGTGTTCTGATATACGTGTAGGGAAACGCTGCCTCAAACAGCTCTATGTACGCCTTGCTCATCCTCTTCTCCATTGCGTGGTGTTTGTACCTTATCACCCATAGCCCGCTGGCCAACCAAGGGCACAGAGCTCACATCTGCTCAGCCCCTGAGAACTCCCCTCTCCATGAACTTGTTTATAAAGCCCTCTTTCTCCCGTAAATAAGTCCTCTAGTGGTCAGAGCCACACAGTCCAGCATTTTCTTACTCCCTTTGCGCTTATACCTCTTGAAAGCACTGTGCTCATTTATTTGTTTGCGTGTCGATTGCCCACCTCCTTCCCCACTCCAAAGCCAAGCAACTCCAATAAGCCAACCAAGTTGAAACTTGCCCAGGTGAATGAGAAAGGACGCTGTTGGCTGTGTTTCTTGGAAGTGAAATAATGGATCATAACATAGGCTGTCTCAAAACTTTCATAGTGACCTGTGTATTCCATGTTTGAGGAATGAATGTTAATGTATCTGTCTCCTTGACTGGACTGTGAGTTCAGAGTGGAACTGGGCCTTAGCATATGTCTGAAATTTGAGAAGGGTTTCTAACCAGATCGGTGGGCTCTGGCATCCGTCATTATCAGAATGCCGTAATTCAGAGGTGTCTCCGTGGAACTGGGCCTCAAGGATCTGAATTGCAGTCCCACTGGCTTTGTTTTGACTGGAAATCTTATTGCCTGTGTTTTGCTTTGTTTTGTTTTATTTGTAGTCTTTGGCCGGGGCTAGGTTTGAACCCACCACCTCTGGCATATGGGGCCGGCGCCCTACTCCTTTGAGCCACAGGCGCCCCCCGTTATTGCCTGTTTTTAAAGCATATTCCCATAGGCACCTTTAAACCCTTGAGACCTCTTGTTGGGCAGACATTTCACCCCCACCAGGAAATCTCATAAAATGATATTAGGTTTGCGCAAGAGGGCAATAAAAGAGAAGATGGTGTGTTCCCTGTCTTGGCTCTGGGTACAAGCAGTTAAGTCCATTCAGAAGGTATTTCAACCACATCTGAGATACTGGGTCAGGGCCAGGTGGCAGAGTCTCATAGTAAACAATAAAATAAAAAATGAAGATGGGAAAGAGAACTCCACAAGAATGTCTCTAGTTACAAGTCAAAGCACAATTCCAGGGAAGAGCAAAACACCATTTTTGGCATGAGGCTGTGTTTCAGAGGGCTGAGTGGTAACCCGGTGTGCCAGCTGGGTGATGACCCGTGCTCCCTGGCGGGGCCTTTTCTCTGTGGACTTTTGATCTTGCCTCTTCCAGGTTCCACCTTGTAAATCATCCGTGAGGAACCACGTAACGGGAGGACTATTCTTATGTGAAGTTCCTAATGTCTCCGAGGTGTTACTCGTATCATTTGGTTTGGGCAGCCTAGCTGTTGATGTTAGAGAGAGCAGAGCGGTGTACACCATGGAATACTATGCAGCCCTAAAGAAAAACGGAGACTTTACCTCCTTCATGTGTACATGGATGGAACTGGAAAATGTTCTTCTTAGCAAAGTGTCACAGGAATGGAAGAAAAAGTATCCAATGTACACAGCCCTTTTATGAAACTAATTTATAGCTTTCAAATGAAAGATACAACTTAAATCTAGCCCAAGAATATGGGGAGGAGGTGCAGAAGGGGAGGGGAGAAGTGCGGCTGGGTGGTGGGAGGGTGACTGGAAAGATCACCTATATATCTGTCTAACAAGGGTACAAGTGAACTTTTCTAGAACTAGAATATAAATGTTTTGACATAATGACTAAGCAAATGACATGAAATCTATGTTAACCAGCTTGATGAAAGTATTTCAAATTGTATATGAAAACACTACACTGTACCCCATGTTTGCATTAATGTATACAGCTATCATTTAATAAAAAAAAAAAAAAAAAAAAAGAGAGAGCAGAGGGTCATGGGTCCTCTGTTAGAGGTCACTTTTGACATTCTTCAAGCTCCTGATTATCCCTGTGGTCCCCAGTCTGAGACTTCACACTCAGTGCCCTCATTAAGCCTTTCATGGTGACGCTGAGCATTTTAGAAAGATGACTGTGAGGAGGGCCTCTTGCTGTCAGCATGAAACCTGCAGCGTTGAAGAGTCAGCTAAGCCTGTATCCTCTCTGCCGTCCCCTCCGGGAGCCTTGTTCTGGTCTCATGCATTGCCATCTCTCTTTTCAGAGGTGTGAACATGTATGCCATGCTGACGGGGACACTGCCATTCACAGTGGAGCCTTTCAGCCTGAGGGCTTTGTACCAGAAGATGGTGGACAAGGAGATGAACCCCCTCCCCACCCAGCTTTCTACAGGTAATGCACCTGCCGCTCTCTCAATTACAGCTCAGGACTTTTGTTCTGACTGGTTTGGGTCCATTTGTGAAGCAGTATTTGTTTTCCAGCAATGATATTATGACTACCCCAAGACTGAGTTTCTTCCTGGTGTTAAAACTAAATCTCAAGAGGTGGTTGGGTTTCCCATCTCTAAGCCACTCCCTGCATCTCACCTGTACCCTTTCCTGTTCTATTCCAGATTCAAACCCCTAACTTCCTTCTTCCTCCTTCTGCACAAAACACACAGGTCAAAATGATCTTATAGTCTCCCTTTGAAAAATAATTGCAGGCTTGTCTTAAAACCCAACATATTATAATGTTGACTTGGAAAAGAGTGTTTACAATCCCATTTCTATTGTGTCTTCTTTAAGAAATACTAATTTCTTTCAAACTGGGTCTGTGATTTGTTTTCCTAGTTGAGTTTCTGAGCCTGTTCAAAAGCTTACAGATATAGGTAGGTTCAGTTACTGCATTAGACGGAATCATCAGGTGTGTTTGGAAAATATTCCCAAACTTTAGCTGGTTCACATTTCAGTCAACACTTGGTATTAGGGTTTGGTTTCAGATCCAGTAAATTAATATGATTTGTTCTTTTGTTTGGTTCACAATTCACTTCAAGTTTCTGGCCTCAGTGTGCGCTTGGTGTTCGTTTAACTGGCTCCTTACACTAAATTCAGCTTTACTGAGATGAGTTTTTGACTGAAAAAAAAAATTATTTAACTTATGAAACACGGTTAAAATATAGCATTTTCTCTTACTACTTTAATGTATTTTTCTCCTGAATTTATAAGGCATGCGCTTGAGTTTATTGTGCTTGCCAAGTGGAATCAGAGCTGAAACGCATTCTCACATGTAATTACCTCATTCGCCTATCCTTTCACCTTTATGAGGAAGGGTAGATCTCTGGAGGCTGAAAGCAAAGGAGGCAGCATGTCCTTGGGAAGATAAGTTACAGTTCTGTCATCATACGGGATGTATTTCTGCACCGAGAGCCGTAACTCTTAGACTTAGGAAATGTGCAAAATATTGAATGGATTGTTCTATTTTGGTTTTAGAGGTTTCAGAAATTTGGTAAGTGCTGTCAAGCACCCTGAAGAGTGCTCATTCCTTCCTTCCTTCATTCACTCATCCCACATTTCATCTTCATTAGCTTGTTCCATGGATAAGTACTGTGTACCCATTAGTCGTGTCCTAGGCTGAGGAAGACAGAGAGGAAACCAGGCAGTCTCTACTCTGATAAAGCTCAGGCATCGGTGGGAAGGGCAAAACATCAAAGGATAAATAGATATCCGCTAGTGCCAGTGCTCTAAATAAAATAAATCAGCATAAGGGGGATAGTTTGTTTTAAACAAAAGATTATTTGAAAATCATTTTATTGTGGTATAATGGTAGATTCACCTGCAGTTGTAAGAAATAACATAGAGAAACCCGTGTATCCTTCCCTCACTTTCCTTCCCAGGGTAAGATCTTGTGTAATATCACCACCAGGAGATTAATGCTGACAAAATCCATTGACCTTATTCAGATTTCACAAGTTTCATGTTCATTCAATTGTGTGTTGGTGTTTTTATTTGTGTTTTTATTTCTGTGCAGTTTTCTCACATGTGTAAATCATGTGACGGCTGCCATAGCCAAGGTATGGTCCAGGCCTCTCACAAGGATCTCTCTGCTACTCCCCTTCCTCCCCTTTCCCTAAGCCCCAGCAACCACTCCCCTGTTCCCGTCTCTAAAATTTGGTCATTTCAAAATGCCATATCTATATATATACACATATAATATGTATATGTATGGCTTTTTACACTCAGAATAATTCCGTTCAGATCCTCCGAGTTGTTGCACGCGTCAGGACTTTGTTTCTTTTTATTGGTGAGTAGTATTCCCTGGGATGGACATACCACAGTTTGTTTAACCGTCACCCAGTGAAGGATGATTATGTTGTTTGCAGTTTGGGGCTCTTATGAATAAAGCTTCTCTGAACATTCACATATAAGTTTTTTCTGTGAATATGGTTTCTTTCATCTGGGACAAATGACTAAGAATGAAATTGCTGGTGGGTTAGTAAGCACATCTTGAGTTTGGTAAGAAATGGCAGCTTCTTGTTCAGAGTGGCCGTGTCATTTTGCATTCCCACTAGCAATGTGCTGGTGATCGCTGCATCCTAGCTGACATTTGATACAGTCATATTTTTTATGGTTGAAGTCTAATGATACCTCAATGAGGTTTGATATTTACTAATATATGCTGTCTTTCAAAGTAGTCTTGTTAAGGGTTATACACTCATGAATAATGCATGAGTATTCTCAGAGTATTCTGAGGTTCCTCCACTGGCTCAGAGCCTATAACATAGGAAGATGTCTGTACACCCCCGCCCCCGGCTTTGGGAGGGCAGACAGTGCTCACTTTGAATTTCCCTGAGACCCTGCGGGGCTGGATAGCTGCTGATCTGCTCCTCCTCGTATTAGTCAGGATAGGTCAGATTGGACTGTGGTGTTAATTAGCCCCCAAACCTCAGTAGCTTAAGATAACAAAGGTTCCTTTCTCACTCTTGCTACACACTTACCTATTAAGAGTTGGATCAAACAGTAAGGCTTCTGCCCAACCTAGGGCCCAAGCTGATGGGGCAGCCACCATTTCCAGCATTCTAGGTTCACGCAGAGGGAGAGAGAAGGAGAAGCTCTCTCACCAGCACTCAAATCACTCACCAATGTGTTGCTTCCACTCATAACCCATAGTTTGCTAAAACCTGGCACATGGCTTCACCAGGTCAAGGGATGGGGCAGTGCAATCCTACCATGTGTCCCGAAAGTGCTGAGGGAGAAATATTTGTTGAACAGCATCAGTGTGAGCCACACAGGCTGTGGGAGGAGGGGCAGGCAGATCATCTCTGGCTGAGCTGGGCAGCCAGGCAAGGGCAGGTAAGTTAGTAACACAAGAAAATCAGTGTCATGTCAGGTTGGCTCACACCTGTAATCTCAGCACTTTGGGAGGCCAAGGCAAGAAGATTGCCTGGGGCTGGGTGTTTGAAACCAGCTTGGGAAATATAGGGAAACCCCATCTCTACAAAAAGCTTTCTAAAATTAGATGTGTGGTGGTGCATGCCTATAGTCTTAGCTACTCAGGAGGCTGAGGCAAGAGGATCGCTTAAGCCCAGGAGATGGATTGTAGTTACACTCCAGTCTGAGTGACAGAGCAAGACCCTGTCTCAAGAAAAAAAAAAGAGAGGGGGTATAGTCTTTAAAAAGAAAAGAAAAAGAGGGGTAAGGGGATGAGGGATTAGGAAGAAGGGGAGGTGGTTAAGGGGTCACACCTCTTGGGGACAGGACACAATCATAAGAGGAACTTTAACAAATGCAATCAGTATAACCTAGTTCTTTATTCTCTCAATATATCCCAAACAATAAAAAAAAAAAAAATCAGTCTTGTAACTTTAGAAACATACCTTGTTTTTACTTGGAATAATATTATACAGCTTTAGCAGGCTGGGCTCTAAGTGTTTTTTGATTGTGAAAATTAAAGTTACCCTTAAGAAGTAAAAATCGCACTCCTGAAGGTCTTATAAAAAAAAAAAAAGACCAAAGATAATTGCCAAGAAGAAATACTGAAAATGTTCCAGGCAATTTCAGCATCACCGGAGTTGGTGTCTGACCTCACATAGCTCCCGCTCTGAGGAACAGTTTGGCCTTAAGCTCTGTGTGTGCTTGTTAAAAATCTTCACATTCCTGCAGGACTGTGTTGTCTTGACTTGTCAAGCATGAATTGCACTTTTGCATTTCTGTAGCTCGGTTTCCAACTTAGGAATCTGGCAGTACCCCTCCCCCACCCCATCCTTTTTTTCTTTCTATTGGGATGTATAAATATTCCTCCTCAACTCAGGTATTGATCCTTTGTCCTGAGTATCAAGCGTAGCATTTGCACAGGATAGAGAGGCTCAAGGACTCCGGTGTCAAAGTGCATTTGTGACCCAGTAGGGCAGCTGATAGATTCTTTCGACAGCTCACAGTTGAGAGTTGGCCTGATGCAGTAGGGCCCAGAGCAGTGCACCAGCTGCAGAGGTAGCCCAGCCCAAGTAAATGACCTTGGTTTGGGGTGTCAGCTGCTGTCCTTCTAACAGTCCCCTGTATTTCTAGCCCTTTGTACCCCAGTGAGTATATCTTCTCTCTCTTCCAATGAGCCTGGCCCACCTTTCTTTATGATATCATATGATACCATCTGCTTCCATCCCAAAATATGAGCTTACCAGTAACAAGCTTACCAGAGTTGCCACCATTCATTGACCTGTCATGTGCTTTTCATGTGCGGTATCTTGTTTTTCACAACTCTGCAAGGCAAACACTATTGTTTGCCACTTACCAAGAAGGAAACTGAGTCTCAGAGAAGATCAAGTCCTGCTAGACTGGAAACCTGGGTTTTCCTACTACGCCATGCTGTTCCTCTCCTGTTTCTGGTTTTGTTTGATGTAAACCCCATCACCCCTCCAAGGTTTCAGGGTGTCACCTGTTGTCTCTCTGTCTTCATGTTCTGAGGTATGTCCATCCAAATTGAAAATACGCCAGTCTCACTAAGTGTCTCACTAACACACATCTTTACTAATTAGATAATTCTGTCACTTCTCCTGGTAATGGTCTCATCTATTTCATCTTACTACCGTTTTCTTGATTAAGTTGGAAGAATTTCTATCAAATTTGAGTTGAAAACAGCATTATTACCTTTGTCAGTCCATACAGCATGCTTCCAAAGAACCACCCACGTCTCCGTCATGTAGTTTGAAAACTTAGGCTTCGCTGGCTTTTCCAGACAGTTCCTCTCAGCTTGCTGTCACTTGTATGGCACAGAGCAGTGAATCCCTTTCGTGACTCAGGAACTTTTCAGGCAGCCACTCACCTTTTCATCACCACACCTCACTGTAGCATTTACAGTACATCCCAAGCAGTCTCTTTGAATCAAAAGGGTTTCATGCCTCAAATTCACCGACGTCAAGCTTTTGTCAGGGTTGAGCCAGAGCTAATTAAGGTGTCCTAGAAGTTGTAACTATCAGACTATCAAATAATTCTTTGTTGGTGATGAAGGGGGCGCCTTGGAGTGGGGTGGGACTCTAATTCATCCAGTGGGCTACCCTAACACGAAAAGCCCGGTGGCTTTGTCTGTCCGCTGGGGCCCCTACCTCAGCATAGCGTCCAGGTGCTGATGGCTCATGAAAGCAAATGAGCTTTGCACTGGAGGACTGTGCCATGTGTTGTGCTGAGCAGGGTAGTGGGGGCACCCATGTGGTTCACCCCACTCCTCAACCGTGAGTGGATTGTGTTAGCTCAGAGCGCCATGCCTGGCATGGCTTTCCAGGACACTGGGAAATATTTTAATCTCTTTTTTCTTGAGAGACATAGGAATTTACAAGACCCTAACACAAACTTCAAAAGAGCTTTAAGGAAGTTCTTAAAGTCCTTTTTGGAAAGCAATGCAATGTTTGCGATGTCCAAAGAAATAAAATTCGTCAGTAGAGAGTTGAACTAAAATTACTTGTGCTCATCAGCAATTTGTGAAGATGCAGAATGCTTGGTTACAGAAATAGAACAAAAACACATACGCATTTGTCCTTAGTTTTTCTGGTTAGTCATCCTCTGATAAAGCTTGTCAGCAGCCTGGATGGTTGTCCAGGTCCTCTCAGGGTAAGCAACAGAGATATCTCAGAAAGTGTCATTAACTCAACAGCCTTCCAATTCAATTCCTTAAGCCCACATCGTTTTTTTCCTTGACCAATAGATACCCCCAGTTAAGATCCAGATAACTTGCAATATAGAGGAGGGATATGGAGGTTCGGGAAAGAGGAAATTTTTTTGTTTTTAGAGACTTGTTTACTTTTAAACCATGGAAGAACATTTTAGGAAAGTTTTTTTTTTTTTTTTTTTGGCGGGGGCTGGGTTTGAACCCGCCACCTCCAGCATATGGGGCCTGTACCCTACTCCTTCAAGCCATAGGCACCGCGAATTTTAGGGAAGTTTTATTTGGACAACCAACTATAAAACATACCTTGTGACTGTAACAGTGTTCACATGCACATTTTACCCACTCAATCTTGAAATAACCTTTTGGTGATCTCATGAACCACATGGGAGCCCATCCTGGAGGAGTTACCTGACAGCGTGACCCAGCAGATGCTGTTTCTCTTGAGTTGACTGGGCCATCACAACTGGCCCTTTGTGATGGCATTATTTTTACTCTACACAAAATGGGTTGATAGAAGACTTTCTTTTAAGAACAATATTAAAATGGCAGCTTAAAGACTGTGAAAAAGTGAGAATTTTTATGACTTTTCCTCACAAAACTAGAATATCTTAGAAAACAGAGATATAACCTTGAAGAGTAGGATGAAAAAATTGGAAGACCAAAAAAATTAAGACTGTTTTCTAGCATTTATTCTTTGGTATATTGGAAATCCTGCACAAAGCAACATAAAATAATATTTTTATATTACAAGGACATTATAACAGTGTTCCATAAAATAAGAAAGATAGATGAGGAAAATGCCATAGTACCGCAACTGAGCCAGACAGACAAACCATCTTCACCGTGGAGTCAGTGCTGGTGTCGTTTGAACGTGTGAATGGGCTGTACGTTCTGCAGAGCAGTTTCTAGCTTGTGCCCTTCACGTTCATCATAAGCATATTTTTACGTGTTGTGTAGTTGTCTCCATTCTTATAATTTTAAAGCATATAAACATTCTGATTATAGACAGACTAGCTTCCTACCTCCAGCACTTCGGTGGACCGCAGGTGCTCTATACATGTTTGTTAAATCGAAGGAAACCCAAGGCATTTAAGGAAGTTATTTTTGCCTGGGATGGAAGGACACAGGATTGTAGAGATTATATGTTTTGTCAACGTTTTCTCAAATCCTTTCCTTGCATACCATGCTCAGCATGACTGATGGGATGGCAGCGAGCTTCAGAGGCTAAAAAGTAAGGATGAACTTGACTGGCATCCAGTCTCTCCTTTTGGGGGGCAGCACGAAAGGAGAGGGCCGGCAGGTACACGTGGGTTCAGTGTGGCTCTCACTGGACCTTTGTACAAAACTAGGATTTAAAAACTTGAGTCACTCTCTTGCAGGGTTGACACTTTAACAAAAACATGTGGCTGTCTGGCGTCTCGACAGCTGATGGGCTGGGCTGATGGGCCTGGGCTCTGTCTGGTCTGGGTGCTGTGTTGTCCATTCACGGGGTGTGGGAAAGAAGAGGACAGCTTCCGAGAATGGCTTCCGAAGTGAGCAGGAGCTCACTGGCCTCCTGAGACTCTGAGTATCCCCTGAGTCCTAATTAAAAGTTCTAACTTAGAATGCCTTTATCCCTCTGGCAGCTTCTTCAGTGCTCAGAAACCTACCTGGAGGGTAGATACTTTCTGTTTTATTGATTGATTGATTGATTGGGATAGAATCTTACTCTGTCACCTGGGTAGGGTGCTGTGGTATATAGCTCATAGCAACCTCAAACTCTTGGGCTCAAGAGATCCTCTTGCTTCAGCCTCCAAGTAGCTGAGACTACAGGCACCCACCACAACATCTGGCTAGTTTTTCTATTTTTAGTAGAGACAGGGTCTCACTCTTGCTCAGGCTAGTCTGGAACTCATGAGCTCAAGTACTTCTCTGGCCTCTGCCTCCCAAAGTGCTGGGATTACAGGCGTGAGCTGCCATGCTGGCCCTGTTTATTTTCCTGAGGATATCTCTTCTGCTCACCTCTAAGCAACAAGACCACAGGTTGTATTGGGAAATCCAGGGCATTGGGAGACCCAGACTGTTCTTGCTTTAGTATGTACCACTTACGTCCCTGGGACAGATGGCCTACATTCTTTTTTAAAGAGTAAAGGAAATAGGATTTAAAACGCCCCACCTGTCTAAGGGGAGGTGGGGTTGAATCTAAGCTCTATGAATCATTGAATCAAAATCTTGCCTAGAGACTCAGAGACTAGCTCGCCCCAGTGGTGGCTGGGGAGTGGCAGGTGAGGCGGGGTCACCTGCGGTGGTGGTTGTCAGCGGTGTCTGGGTTCAGCCTATAACATGGGTGTGTTCTTTCCTGAATGTCTTCCAGGAGCCATCAATTTCCTGCGCTCTCTCCTGGAACCAGACCCTGTGAAGAGGCCAAATATTCAGCAAGCTCTGGCGAATCGTTGGCTTAATGAGAATTACACAGGCAAAGTGCCCTGTAATGTCACTTATCCCAACAGGTAATTTAGTACACACAGAGGAACTCCTCCTCAGGCTAGATGGGGCCTGTCCTGCGACCCTGAGTGGATCTGGGTAGGAGAGTCCCGGGAAAGCTGCCTTCTCTCTTCTGCGCCCCTCCTGCACACAGATGACCCATCTCAGCCCACAGAGGAGGCACAGACAAGGCCACCCCAGGGGTTGTGCAGCGTGGCCTGTGGGGATGTGGACAGAGGGGTGAGTGGAAGCTGGAATGCAGGCTCTGAGGGGGTGTCTTCCCCGAGGGACAGTGTTGCTAGTTCCCATGCAGGGACAGTTTAGACTAGTTGTGGCCTCTGTAAGTGTGTTTCTGTGTTTACATGTATGAGCATGTGCGTGAGTGGATGTGTTTGTGCGTAAGTGTCTGCACGCCTGTGAGTATGTCTGTGTATGTGCAAGTGTGTGTTTGATTCCCCCGTGACCTCACCTGCCGGCCTCAGGCAGTATCCCATGGCACATCCCCTTCCTCTTTCAAACCACCCCTCGTCTCCTCTTCTGCTTTGTTGGTGATGTTTATTTCAGCTGTAAGTCCCCTGCCTCAAAGTGCTAGGGGCTTCAGCAGTCGTTGGTGTTAGGCTGGGTCCCAGTGGGCTTGCTGTGAGGGGTCACCCCGTCAGTTTCCATGAGCAGGTCTGGCTAAGGAAGGCCCACAGCGTAGAACACTGCTGGCACCTTGTGCGGCCTAGGCCTCTGCATGTTGGGATACTGACTAAAGGTTTGAAAACCAGTTGAGAACACCTGTTTGGGGACTTTTCTTGTATTCATTTGAACTATTGCTAATTAATCTGCGAGAGGAGGTGAGAGCTCTCACAGCGGCTACTTCAGAGAAAATATGGAGATCACACAGACCCAATACCTTCTTTCTTCCTTCAGACCCCGGGTGTCCCATCCTTCTGACCAAAGGGGACAGATGGGCACCCAAAGGACAGGGAAAGGGGTCCTCCATGGTCATATTTTCAATGCCTAGAAGGTCTGGAAACACCCCTCAAGCCTTATGAAAGCTGAAGTGCTGAGTTCTTTAAACAAGATGAGAAGGCAGGGTCCTATCTTGGGATGGAAGCTCTAGAACAGCACTTCTCAACCTGTGGGTCGTGACTCCTTTGGGGATCAAATGACCCTTTCACAGGGGTCGCCTAAGACCATCCTGTATATCAGATATTTATATTATGATTCATAACAGTAGCAAAATTATAGTTATGAAGTAGCAACGAAAGTAATTTTATGCCTGGGGAACAACATGAGGAACTATACTAAAGGGTCACAGCATTAGGAAGGTGGAGAACCACTGTTCTAGAAGGACTTAAGGGGATGTGGAAGTCTACATCTCCACTACTGGGCCAATTTTATACTCTTACTCTCTCCATGTCAATATAGGAGGTGGTTCCATTCAGATGCCATCTAGAATTCTAGCATTTGGCTCATGGGAAGTAATTTAAACAATGTCGAGGTAACTTCGGTTACCAAGGGAACCTGGAAATAGATTGCTGGTTTTCCAATACCAGTTTGATTTGGGACAGTTTTTGAAATAGACACCAGAAATACGACCCCAACGTGAGGCAGACCTCATTACTGATGCCGTGTGGGTGGCAGCATGCAGGTACCCTTTCTGTTAAAGGAGGGGACATTGGTGGCAGCCTAATGAGTCATTAGGCTAATACAATCACTGTCTAAACGAGCAGAATCAATCCGCTCAGCACAGCAGCTGTTCAAGGAAGCAGAGCTGGTATGAGATGGGTCCTGTTGGCTGTGTCTTCATTCACACAGAATTGTGTAGCTTTTCCACAGGTTGTAGACAGCCTTTGGTAGATGAAAGCTAAAATTCAAGTCCATATGCTCATGTTGCCAGATTAGTAGTTTTTGCATTTGGACTTGATGAGAAGCACAAAGGCTGTACATGCAACTAGTTAGGGGAATTGTAAAAAACTGGCCTAGATCTGGTGTATTAGCAGCTCAGCATCTTCCGTGTATGAAGGCCCATTACTCCTTGTATACTAGAGGCAAGTCAGTGGATAGTTTTTAAGTAATGAAACCAGAATTCTAAACCATTAGGGAGGTACATGTTATTTATAGTCTTCATTTTGAAAAATGTTTATCTTTAAGGCAAAAAAAGTATTTATTTAATAGTAATTATTCTGGTTTTACCAGCACATAGATAAAGGGAGTGACATGACTAGAGAAAAGACTGTCTCCTTTATAAAGTATGTTTTATAGCCCCCAATTTAATTATTTTAAATGATATCCTTGCTTTTCTTTTGGGAAAGTGAAGAAAATAAAGGCCCCATGTTTTACATCACTCTTCTGTAAACCCTTCTCCTCTGAAGTCACATGGGCCTCCAAGTTGATCTCCAAAAGGCAGGAGGGAACTGTCTTTAAAAGTAAATTTTTTGGCTCGGCGCCTATAGCTCAACCGGCTAAGGCGCCAGCCACGTACACCTAAGGTGGTGGGTTCGAATCCCCAGCCCGGACCCGCCAAACAACAATGACGGCTGCAACCAAAAAATAGCCGGGCGTTGTGGCGGGCGCCTGTGGTCCCAGCTACTTGGGAGGCAGAGGCAGGAGACTCGCTGGAGCCCAGGAGTTGGAGGTTGCTGTGAGCTGTAATGCCACGGCACTCTACCCAGGGGGGCAGCTTGAGGCTCTGTCTCAAAAAAAAAAAAGTAAATTTTTTATAGTAAATGTTCATGCCAGTTAGTCAACAGATGCTTGCTGGGTGGGTGCCTGGCCCCCTCTCCGATCTGGGGCAGATGTTTGCACACAGCCAATCTTGCTGCCTCTTCCTGTCTCCCAGTAGGGGCCAGCCAGTCTCCCCGCCCCTCCAGTTCACTCTGGAGATGGTGGGAGGGAAGATGGCCGTGGGTGATATAGGACAGAATTAGACCAAATTAGATCTGTGGTTTAAAAACGGATTTCGTGCGAATTTGCTTAGTTCAAATTGTATCTGGTGTTCTGAAACATTTCACCATTCTCTGTATCACCCAAACATGCAGTGATAATACATATTCAGTAGCTGATGTTGGAGAGAGCCAAATATATACATTATTTATTGGAAAACATTTAAAATAATTGCTTTTACTCAAGAGTCAGTTACAGTCTACTTTTTGGCAGAGCTCCTGGCTTTTTCTTGATTCTGTCTTTTTTGATTGTTATTGTTTTGTTATGAGACAGAGTCTCACTCTTTTGCCCCAGGCTAGAATGCTGTGGTATCATGGCTTACAGCAACCTCAAACTCCTGGGCTCAGTCTCCTCCTACCTCAGCCTCTTGGGTAACTGAGACTACAAGCACCAGACACAGTGCCTGGCTACTTCTTCTATTTTTATTAGAGATGGGGGCTCGATCTTGCTCAGGCTGGTCTTGAACTGGTAGCCTCAAGCAGTCCTCCCACCTCAGCCTCCTAGAGTGCTGAGTTATAGGCATGAGCCGCCACATCTGGCCAGAGCTCCTGTTTTTGAAGAATACAATTATAAAGGGCAGAGAGGGTATATCAGTTCCTGCACCCTCTCTCCTCCCACCTCTGCCCTGGGAGCACCTGCTCAGCAGAAGGTGAATGTTTCTCAGAGTGCTGAGGTCTGATTGGCTAGGAGCAGGGCCGCAGGCATGGTCTGATTGGCCATGAGCTGGGTCACATCCACTCTGGAATTTCCAGATATTTTCAAACAACTGCACCCTCTGTGTTGAGCGTTGTGGCAAACCTCAAGTAGTGATTTTGTAACCTGGTGGCAGACAGGAGCAAAGAAGGCTGATTTCATTGTTCTTCCAGTGTGGGTTTTTGGTTTGTTTGTTTTTGTTTGTTTGGTCAACACTTCATCTAATCTATGGGAGGAAGAGCTGAGATGTGGGTTATGCTGATGACCAGAGGAAGTAGGCAGGAGCCCTAGGCCTCCTCTTGGCACCCCTGTTAACTGATGGTGCAGACTAGGCAATTCGGTGTCCTCTTTACAATGATGGGGTTACACTGTGGGGATTCTCTGGGCGTTGTGGTTCTGAGGTCCCCTCGTGAATGTCTTCAGACCCTTTGGCGTGGTCGCGAGCTCTCCAGTCAAGTGAGGTTGCTTTCTGCTCAGAGTGTCCTATTTGCACCTCTCTTAAGAGGTTTAGAATGTTCTTTTAATACACCCCACTACCAACACATACACGCTCCTGATGACTCCTGGCTTGATTTCTTGTTCTGTGTAGCCACTGGCTGTGCCTATCTCTGTGGCAGTGAGTGTGGGGGATTAGCATCTAGAGCAGTGGTTCTCAACCTTCCTAATGCTGTGATCTATTTTCATTGTTACAAAGGGATCGCCACCCACAGGTTGAGAACCGCTGATCTAGAGTCTGAGCCAGGCTAAGTGGGTGTCAACGGGGAGCCGCTGCTTCCTGCCTGTGTGGTCCTGGACAAGTTACTTTATTGCCATGAACTTCAGTTTCTGCATCTGTGAAATGGGATAATGACAGTTCCTACTAAAGGACTGTTGGGAGGTCTAAGTTAGTTTATATTCTATCTTCCCCACTGGAATGTAACCTCCAGGTATATGGTGGTTGTGTGAATGAATGAGTGAATAAATGAGAGCCTGCTATGTTTTTGGCTCCCAAAGAGCTTAGCTTCACAATGCGCTCATAAAGTCGCTCTGAGCTGTCTTCCCCTGAGAGCACCCCCACATGACACTGAGCCGCAGGCTCCCATGTGTGAACCTGTGAGATCTCCTTCCTCTAAACATGATCTGGCCTTTCCCTAATACTCCCAAACCATGTTAAGTGTGGCCTCTATCCATGGCAACAAATACATTTTAAGGAAAGAATGTGTACTTGGAAAGAAATGAATATAATCTGGCTATTAGAGGATATGAAGGGATTATTCAAACTGCATCGAGTATGTATCAGATGGCATGTGGTCCTGCAGGAGATGTCTTTGGCTTTGAAGATGCACATTGAAGTGTTAAGGATGAAATGTCATGGTGTCTGAAATTTAAAATACCTTAGCAAAAAAGAAAAAACAGATGAAGCAAAGAGGGCAGAGTGTTCCTCGGCACCTCCAGGTGATGGTATGCGTAGGTGATTATACTGTTCCCTCCACTTTTCTGAATACGTGAAACTTTTCATAATAAAGTGAGGGAATGGGGCTGAGTGCAGTGGCTCATGCCTGTAATCTAAACACTTGGGAAGCTGAGGCGGGTGGACTGCCCTGAGCTCACAGGTTCGAGACCAGCCTGAGCCAGTTGAGATCTCATCTCTAATAATGGCCAGGCCTTGTGGCGGGTGCTTGTAGTCCCTGCTACTTGGGAGGCTGAGGCAAGAGAATCGCTTAAGCCCAGGAGTTTGAGGTTGCTGTGAGCTGTGACACCAGGGCTCTCTAACAAGGGTGACACAGTGAAACTTTGTCTCAAAAAAATAAAAATAAAAATAAAGTGAGGGGATGAATGGGTGGATGAATGTGCCCAACCGTCCATGGGGGTCTGTGTGGGCCCCTCAGTGAAGGTGGAACAAGTCAGGGTCAGGGTGACGGGGTCTTGTTCCCTCTGCCTGGCAGGATCTCTCTGGAGGACCTGAGCCCGAGTGTGGTGTTGCACATGACCGAAAAGCTGGGCTACAAGAACAGCGATGTGATCAACACCGTGCTGTCCAACCGTGCCTGCCACATCCTCGCCATCTACTTCCTCCTAAACAAGAAACTCGAGCGCTACTTGTCAGGGGTAAGTGAGACCCTAGAACGGGGTTTTTCAAACTTTTTTTAATCTCACAGCACACTTAAAACTATAGTTAAACTTCTATGATACACTTAAATTATGATGATCCCCAAAAAAGATTAAAAAAGAAGAAAAAAGAATATACTTACTGTGCTTTGAACTTCGTTTGAAAATAATCTTTAAAAGTTTTCGTGGCGCACCTGAGACCCTCTCTCAGTACAGGGTGTGCTGGGCTTACCCCTTGGAAATCACTGCCCTATAGGCAGTGTTCTCTGCTCTCTATGGAAAAAAAGAAAAAAGAGCTCTTAGACCCAAAGTGTTTCCCAGGGACTGACACTTGATCTACACTGCTAATTTAGCCTCATGTGAGGCTGAGTTTCCCTTTGTGGAGTGAAGTAGAGGCGAAGCCTGCATCTCAGGTAGCACTTCTTATCTGGGGTGTTTTTCAAATGTTCTCCCACAAAGTTAAGCCCTGAGCAGAATTGTTCGGAGAGTCAAGCCTCTTTTTTGCTTCAGTTTCTCTGTTGCCTATTCTGTCCTGCTACCCCTTTGCTCTTCTGTTTCCCCACATTAGAGGTCTTAGGGGCTGCTCTGGCCACTAAAGCTGGGGAACTGTGTCCCTCTGGCATTTGTCTCTACAACATGGTGCAGGAGGAAGCCACTGTTTACTTTTACTTCTCCAGAAAATAGAAATGAGGTTGAGCTTCACATACTTGACCCTGACACTTTCCCTCAGTCTGGGTGTTAGAAAGTCCAAGCATCCTGTGTCACCTACAAGGCACTGTTGGGGGTTCTGCAGCATGGAGTGGACAGTGACTCTGGCCCCTTGGGCCCCTGCATCATTTTGGGGTAAAGGGGAATTTACATGCTTTGATATCTAGTTATGAATCAATCATCTCTGAATAGGCAATGGCTCAAAAAGAATTCTGCAAAGAAAACAGCATCCGAGGCGATGTGGATTCCATACACAACTCCTGCTTCTGCTCAGAGTGGTGGGTGCCGACAAGATCTAACAGGAGGTCAGCCAGGGAAGCTCAGCATTATGAGGAAGCCCATCTGAAATTTGACTGAGTGTCCACTTTCAAGAAGGGATGACCTCACCCCATGCATGTTGGATCTTGGGATGTGCTGGCATGGAGTTGTCACTGTTAGGTAGACATTTCGAATCCAGAACTTGAGGACAACTTCTAGTTTTTTTTCGGTGTTATTTAAAGTCTTGTGATACTCAAAGATGTCACAAAATTTTACCAAACAGGCTTTGAAACCTTTTTTGAGTCTGTATTCGAGCAAAATACGAAAATCCACCTGCATTTGGGGAAATTATATTCTCCCTGCCGTGGTAAGAAGGACCAAAATAATACCCAGAAGACACGGTGGTCAGAGTGTGTCTGTTGTTAGCAAATAGATCTGGGAGGCATCTAGAAAACATTGCTGAATATATGAAGAACTTGATGGGAGGTTTGTTAAACAGTTGGATGAAAGTACAGATGTTTTCCAAGCTGATTCAGCTTAGGATATTTGCTAGATTTTGCTTCAGCAGGAAATTGTCTACAGAACTACTTGTTTTTCTTTTTGGGGTGAATCACTGAAGGAAAGAAGAAAGATTATCAAGAGTAAAGGTTTTTAAAAATAAGAATAGTGGGGAAAAAAATAAGAATAGTATTTTATGGGGGGAAAAGTAAGTTCCATGTAAATAGGGATGGGGTGATATTTCTGATGGGGACAGAGTAGTGACTTTGAGGCTTGATTTCTGAGATGGTGCCACTGTGACTGCATTGATCATAGGAAGGCTACGGTGGGAGAAACGTTAAGTCCAGAGGGACAGGACTTACAGCACACAGTGTGCTATTTATATTATTTCATTATGGAATAAGGAAAGACTAAGAACATCCCTTGTACCACACAGCAGTTCTCCATTCTGTCATCATGAGCAACTTAGAAAACATACTAGACTTGAAGGGCTTTTCCTTTTCTCTTTTCTAAGTCAGGTAGTGTGATGCCTCCAGCATTGAACTTTTGATTCAAGATTGGTTTGGCTACTTGGGGTCTTTTGTGGTTCCATATGAATTTTAGGATGGTTTTTTTCTTTCCATAGAAAATATCATTGGAATTTTTAGAGAGATTACACTGAATCCATAGATTAATTTGGGTGGTATTGACATTTCAACGATATTAATTCTAATAATTTATGAACATGGGATCTTACCATTTATTTGTCTTCTTTGATTTCTTTTATCAATGTTTTATAGTTTTCAGTGTCTGGGTCTTTCACTTCCTTGGTTAAATTTACTTCCTTCTTGGTATCCATTGTAAATGGGATTATTTTCTTGATTTTATTTTTTAGTAGTGTGTCATTAGCATACGAGAATACTACTGATTTTTGTGTGTTGATTTTGTATCCTGTAACTTAACTGAATGTGTTTATTAGTTACAACAGGGGGTTTTTTGGTGGTGGTGGTAAGAGTTTTCTATGTACATGATAAAGACAGCCACTTGCTTAGAGTATGGATGGATTCTTAGGCCAGTTGTGAGTTTTATCGTGTCTGTTTCACATTTAACCCTTAAATCATAAGACATACTTGCTCTGAAAAATCTATACTCTAGGCAAGTGGCTGTTTTTAACTAGAGTGAATTAATCCCTGTGGATAGGTACAGCTGGTCTGTTCAGTAATTTCCACACGTGGCTAATTTAATTGTACTATATTCACTGTCCCAGTTATTAATCTTATCAACCAATTACTAACACTCTATGTATAATTTTGAAGGCCAATCTAGTGAACTAAGAAGTAGAACATTATACTGTAATTGTCATTTCTTCCCTTATTTCTTGGTTTTCTCTTTTTAAATTGATCAGTCCTTTAATTTCTCCTATTACCAGACAGGATAGCACCTCCCTCATCTCAAATGCAGTGGTCTGTCTTCTTCTTTGAGCTAAATTATAAACTCTCCTGGCTTCCATTTGGATGGGATATGTGTGTGTACTGCTTTAAAGTGAAGCCCCTGAGAAGATTATATATCCTGGGTAGTTATTGGATGACAAGTCATTCTTGCCAGCTCACTTGTTTGGTTTCAGCTTTCTCATCTTTCAGTAGTCTTTCCTGCACAAATGAAAGAACTGAAGTCCATCGAGGAGTAGTGACCTGCCCTGGGTCACCTGGCCCACCTGGCCCTTTGCTAGCAGAGCCAGTAACAGAAGTAGTTGCTTGACTCTGGGCCCAGGGCTCTCCTCATGTCTCATCCTCCCTGCTGGCCATCCTGGGATAAGACTTTGCATTGCAATTTTCTGGCCTGCCAGCCGTTTTCAGCACTCTTTCAGCCATGTTCTGGTTTAAAGATTAATGACTGCTTAATGCACATTTCTATTTCTGAAAGTTCAACCATACTTTTTCTTTTCTCTGGCAGAAATCTGATGTCCAGGACAGTGTCTGCTACAAGACCCAGCTCTACCAGATAGAAAAGTGCAGGGCCACCACGGAGCCCTTTGAGGTGGGTGACCCAATGAGGCAAAACCTGGGGTTTCTTGGAAGTGTGGAATTCAATTTAGTACAAAGTGCAGAAAGGAAGCCAATTACTGTAGGACACTGAAGTGACAAAAAGCAAATACTCTCATAACTGAACCCTTGACAGATGGCTTACAGTGGAACCCCCATCACTGTCACTCAGCCCTGGTTCTCATTGGTAGCTATACGTAAGAGTCACTGGGAACATTGAAACAACTGGACACCCAGGCTCCCCTCAGACCAGTTATGTAGAATTTTAAGCTTCCTGAATGACTCCAATGGGCAGTACAGGTTGGAAACCACCATCAGGTCTCCAGAGGGTGAAAATGGCACACTCAAGGTTCTCACTCATATGTGGAAGCTGGAAAAAAAACCCCCAAAAACTGAACTCCTAGAAGGAGAGAATAATATTATGGTTGATAGAGGCTGAGAAGGGTAATGGAAGGAGGAAGAGGTTGGTTAACAGATCTAAAATAACGGCTAGAGAGGAGGACTCAGTTCTGGTGTTCTCTAACCCAGTGGATGACTATAGTTAATAAGAATTTACTGCGTGTGTTCAAAAAGCTGGAAGAAAGGATTGTGAATGTTCCCAACTCAAAGAAATGATAAATGTTTTAGGTGACAGATATGCTAATTACCCCAATTTGATTATTATACACTGTACGTTTATCAAAATATCACTCCGTACCCCATAAATACGTATGATTATTATGTGTCAGCTAAAAATAAAAGGGAAAAATGCAAATGCTAAAAAAACAAATGAGATGCTCAGAAATATAGCTGAGTGTAAGGCTCCATGGCAGGAGAAGGAAGTCAGAGGGGGACGGAAGTTTCAGGTAAGCTGAGCTGTCCTAGTCAGCTGTCGCTGGTGACTTGAGATTACATCAGAAAACACCACAGTTCTTTGATTTAGAATAAAATCTAGTATCTAATGGATCCCAAATACTTGTTTGTGAGGAGACTGTGAATTGCAGGTCCAGGCCCAGGCACTTGGGGATCAAGTGTTGCCTTGGGCCTCTCAGTCACCTTTTGTCACATGGGTTCTTGTCCTCGGGAGCCTCTTCCACGTCCTCTCCCCCAAGTGTAAAGACTTCAGGGATAGACATTCCAGATAGGTGCAGAGGGACAGGAGAAACTGGCAAAGACCACAGTGAAGGGCGGCCAGGGGCGGGATGGGAATGGGAAAGGTCACGTGAGAAATGCCTGCAGTGTTGGCTGAAGCAGTTTACTGTCCTCAGGATGGGAGAGAGGATAGCTTCATGGCAGTGGAGGAGGCAGAGGGGAGATTGCACGGATTGGGGGCCGTGGAAGAGGGGACATGGGACCAATGAACAATGCAGCAATGGAAGGAGGGGCTGCCAAGACAGGCCATGGGGCCCAGGGGGATGAAGATAGAGGTGGGACCTTTGGAGGTGGGGCTGTGGCAGGCAGGCGTGAACTGTAGGCTCAGTGAGGCTTTCAGGCCCAGAGCAGGAGAGTGGGGTTGTGTAAGGATCCAGATGCTTCCTGAGCTCCAGACCCTCTGGCCAGTTGCCTACTAAATGTTAACCTCCTGTCTCGTGAGTGAAGGTGCCTGAAGTCTAGCGGCCTCAGAACCAAACTCCCCAGCAGCCCCATCCTTCCCAGTTGTGTAGGGAAGAAACCCAGGGGCCCTTGACCTTTACCTGTCCCTCACCCCAGGGCCAGCCTGTCATCAGCTATAGAGCCCCTCTTCTCTATCCATCCCCAGTGCCCCACTTGTCCCAGCCACATGGCCTCTGCTATGACATCTAACGCCACCCCCCACCCCCCACACACACACCTTTGCAGATGGTTGCTCACCACTCTTCTCTGCATGGCAGCCAGAGCAAGCTTTTCACCCTCAAATCACATCATGTCACCTCCCTGCTGGGGACTTCTGAAGGCCTCCTTCCCCTGCAGGGGCTCCGTGCTGAGCCCACCGTGCAGCTTTGGTCCCCTGCTTCTCCTGCCTCACTTCCCAGCCCCAAGCCCTTCCCCCTGCAACTCTGCTTCTTGCTGCTTGCTTTGTACATAGACTCCACCCCCAGTGTTTGGCCTTGCTGTGTACATGCTGTTCTCTTTTCCAGAATGTTTCCCCCCGCCCCCTCTTGCTAAGTTGATCTGCATCTTCAGATCCCAAGGCGAAGTCAGCTCTTCATGGACCCCTGCTATTCCCTGACCTGTACCATCAAGTTCCATCCCTCCAGCAAGGGCTGTCACCACATTCTGCATCCTGTGCCTGGTCTCATTTTCAGCTTTTCGTTTGTTTGGGGTTATTTGATTAGTAGCTCTCTCCTGCTGAGCTATGAGTCCCCTAAGAACAGGGACTACGTCCCTTTGGCACCTGTCAGTATTCCTAGAGTCTACCCAATGTCTGGCATATAACAGGTGCTCAGCAAATATTTGCTGAATGGACAAATGCAAAAATCAAGTGAGCCTTGTTCTGAGTCTCAGAAAATAGGGGAGGACTGGGATAAACTGCTAGAGAAAGGGGAACATTCCAGGTGGGACCCATAACTGGGTCACCTGCAGCACAGCACACACTGGCATCATCAGCACCAGATGGCCGTGCCTTAAGTCAGGAAGGGTCTCTATGGTCACCCACACTTGCAGAGGTCTCCCAGCTAGAGTCCAGGGCCTGCAGAATTCCTTCATCTCTTGGCTTGCACTTGACTCTTTAGGGCCTCAAAGAATAATGCAAACTTAGATGCACCTATAGCTCCGTCAGTGTGTCCAAGTGAACCCTAAGCCACTTCGCTGACCGCCTTGTCCACATTGGCCTCACACTCGCCCCACTGCAATTGTGTGTCTGAAGGTACCAGAACTGTGATGGGAAAGAAAGCCCTTCATCCAGATTATTTTTCTGTTATTTCATTTGGCCTAAAAACACATGGTGAGCGTTTTGTTTTAAGCATATGTTGAAATATTTAACGGTTGAGATTTAAATAGGAACACTAATGGGCAAGTAGCATTTCAATTTCCTATGATCCATTTGTTTTCTCCAAATGGTGCTGATACTTCTGCTAATGAAATTATAGCTATTACCAGATTATCCAACTTTTCTCTGTTGGAACCTAGAAAGTGGAATGGGGCTAGTTAGCAAAAGTGTTAAGAAGGTCTGGAGGGGCCCAGGCTTCCCAGGTAAAGCCTGCTCAGGGCTTCTGGGTTTCCTTCCAGGTGTCCTTGGCTGGCCCAGGAGAAGCTGCGGAGGGCGGGAAGAGGGAGTAGTGGGCAGAAGTTTCAGGTGTGCAAAAATTGTGGTGTGGCTCAGGGTCTAAGCCCTCCAGGGACACCATGAAGTTGTGTCCCTGCACTAAGTGTGAGCAGTGATCTCTTTGTTCTCTTGATTCTGGTTCTTTTTTCTCCTAAGTTGAAAATCCTTCCTTCCTAGGATTACAGTGCCGTGATTTTATGACTTCATTGTTTTTTCTACCTCTCTTTCCTCTAAAAGCCAGGGAAGACATCTGTAAAAGTGGGGCGCATCTCTCCTCAGAGAACACCTATTCATGTGTGGCCTGAGGGACTTGTCTTCCTAAAAAAGAGACCCTCTGGGGCCATGGGGGTTGAGGAGGAGTGGGCAACATTTTTAAATTGACTTATTAAAGCCATATGGAGCCCAAAGCCAGTTTGATGAAGTCTTTTAAAAATGGATATATAGGAGCCGGGTAAGGTGGCTCATACCTGTAATCCTAACACTGTGGGAGGCTGAGGGGGCTGGATTGCCTGAGCAAGAGCAAGACCCCATCTCTAAAAATAGCTGGGCATTGTGGCAGGCACCTGTAGTACCAGCTACTTGGGAGGCCGAGGCAAGAGGATCACTTGAACCTAGCTAGGATTTTGAGGTTATTGTGAGCTACGATGCCATGGCACTCTACCAAGGATGACAAAGTGAGACTCTGTCTAAAAAAAAAAAAATTATATATATGTGTGTGTGTGTGTGTATATATATATATATATATATATATATGTTTAAGACAGAATCTCTCACTCTGTTGTTCAGGCTAGAGTTCTGTGCCGTCAGCCTACCTCACAGCAACCTCAGACTCCTGGGCTTATGCCTCAGCCTCCCAGGTATCTGGGACTACAGGTGCCTGCCACCATGCCCAACTAATTTTTCTATTTTTAGTAGAGAAGGGGTCTTGCTCTTCTTGCTCAAGCTCATCCCTAATGGCCAGGCGTTATGGCGGGTGCCTGTAGTCCCAGCTACTTGGGAGGCTTGAAGCAGGAGACTCGCTTGAGCCCAGGAGTTGGAGGTTGCTGTGAGCATGATGCCACGGCACTCTACCCAGGGGGAATAGCTTGAGGCTCCGTCTCAAAAAAAGAAAAAAAAAAAAGCTCGTCCCTAACTTCTGAACTCAAGCAATCCTCCCACCTCGACCTCCCAGAGTTCTAGGATTACAGATGTGAGCCTCCATACCTGGCCAAAAGTCTTTTAAAAAATAATATTAATGTGTAAAAAAGAAAAAAAGGTGTGAAATATGACTAGGTAATCTTCTCTGCAGTGACAAAGTGATATTGGAGTTTAGGGGGAAGAGCTGCTCAGAAAGTGGCAATGGGGCTGGATTTGCCTGCTGGGGCTGCCGGAACGAGCACCGCAAACTGGGTAGAAGTTTATCTCCCCACAGTTCAGGGGGCCAGAAGTCCAAGATCAGGGTGTCAGCAAGGTTGTGAGGGACAGTCTGCTCCAGGCCTCCCTCCTGGCTTGTGGGGTTGCTGTCAGTCTTCACTGTCCCTCAGCTTGTAGAAGTGTCCCCGTCATCTCCACCTTCATCTCCCCATGGCGTTCTCCTCATGTTTGTGTCTGTGTCACGTCTCTCCATTTTATGGGGACGTCAGTCACATTGCACTGGGACTCACCCTAATAACCTCATTTTAATTTGATCACCTCTGTAAAGACCCACTTTCTCTAAATAAGGTCCATTCTGAGCTCCTAGGGGTTAGGGCTTCAACCCGTGAATTGGAGAGAGTCCATTTCAACCCACAACAGAAACTATAAGTTTCTAGGCTCAATATTAAAAATGTTTACTTCATGTCTTATTTAAAAATCTGTACAACTTTCTAAAATAAAGTCCAGAATCAGGTCAAACAATTTACACTGCTAAAAGTCAGAGTGTTGCTTTTAGGGGACAGAGTGACAAGGAGAGGACATGGGTGTCCTGGGAAGGGGAACCTTCCAGGTGCTGGCTGGGTTCTGTCTCTTGATTGGGGTGTCGTTTCCAGGGGTGTTTTGCTATTTGAGAAAATACATCAAGCACTTACTTATCCTTAGTGCAGTCCCCTGTTCTGTGTTTTAGAATTTAATAAAAAGTTTACCTAGAAAATGTATTCAGGACAGGAATGAGGATACCAGCTGCCTACTTCCACTACGATTTCTGAGTTTTGTTATTATTATTTGTCTCTAAACATTGACATGAATAATTCTTAGCCAGAACTGCAGGGGAAGTGGTAGGGAGAGAGTTTAAGGCATAAAGAGTGGATGCTCTTTTTCGAATTGTGAAAAAATTCTGTTTTTCACAGGCCTCCCTGGACACCTGGACAAGAGACCTTGAATTCCATGCTGTGCAGGTAAGAAGTGGGGGGGGGGGGAGGGGTTTGATGTATTAGTCAGAGTTCACCAAAGAAACACGACCACTATACACACACAAATTAAGAGAGAGAAAAAGAAAGATCAGAATTGAGATTTATTTTAAGGAATTGGCTCACACAATCCCAGGGACTAGCACTCCCGAAATCTACAAGGCAGGCCAGTGGGCTGGAGATTCAGGAAAGAGTTAATGTTGTAGTTCTAAGCCCATGGGCCACCTAGAGGCAGAATTTCTTTTGCCAAAAGACCTCTAGTTCTTTCTTAAGGCCTTTGATTGCATGAGGCCCGCCCATGTTATAGAGCAGTGGTTCTCCACCTTCCTAATGCCATAGTGCTTTAATACAGTTCCTGTGGGTCGTGACCCACAGGTTGAGAACCACTGTTGTAGAAGATAATCAGCTTTACTTAAAGTCTACTGACTTGAATGTTAATCACATCTTAAAAATACCTTTACAGCAACATCTAGACTGGTGTTTGACCAAACTGCTGAGGACTATAGCTATGTTGACACATAACATTCACTTGTGATCCTAAGGGTTGACTTGATTTCTACCCAGCCCTGTATACCCCAGCCTTACCCTGAATTAAAACATGCAGAGAATTATTGTGAGTGGGGTTAGCAGAATCTCCCGATCTGATTGGAGCTTTCCAAGTAGAGTGGACTTTTTATTATTGTCCTGCTGTCACTGCACACTTGGCAGAATTCCTATTTCTACTTGTTTGAGAACTGGTGGTAGACGAGGAGGCAGAACAGTGTCCGTCCCTGTTAAATCAATGAGTTTGCAGCTCAGACAATGAAGAAGGTGCCACACGTTTTTTTGTGATAGATAGGAAAGGGACTTGCTGAAGGTCACCCAGCAAGTTATGGGGAGAGCCACGAATGGGTCCCAGATTCCCAGGCTGACAACACCCACAGGGGCAGAGCTGAGGAGGAAAGGGGCAGAGTGTGGGTCTTTGAAATGCAGAAACCTGGTGTCATTCTTCAGTGGCTATCATTGTCCCGTTGGCACAGCCATCAGGGAAGAGTCTCAGTCCTCAGAGACCAAAGGTGGGGCTTCCTCCCCCTACTGTCTGTGGGGAACCTCAGAGATCACTTCCTGGAAGTCCAGTGGATTGTCACCTCCGGGCTTCTCCCTCTGCCTTGGGCTTCTCCTTCTCCTCCCTGGGACAATCCTCAACATCAACAGTCTTGGGGAGAGGATCCTTCCTGGGGCCACATTTTCAAAATGTTCCATTTTGTAAGTGTCCATGGACATCTTCAGTGGGTGGAAATGGGTGGTAGAGAACAGAAGCTGTTTCGACTGTGGCTTGCAGCCAGGGCCACTTGTGGTCTCCTCTCTGATCTTCATAGGGGGTTCAGGATTGTGCCATGAGGGTGCAGAGAGGATGAGCTCAGCACTGGGAGCTTGAGTTGTGTCATCCACATGGTTCCAAGCTCACTTGGGTGCTGGGAGCCCTGCCAGGAGAGCATAGGGGTGGGGGCGAGCCCCTGCAGGCAGCCGCACTCTTGAGTGAGGAATGGGAATGTCGGGGGTGCAATTAGTCCCCCTGAAGATCTGTTTCTGTTATGTAAGGCAATTTAGCATCCTGCTCCCTAGGAAATTTCTTTCAGAGAAAATAGGCCATGCAAATGGAAAGGTATAATTGGGCGATCGGTTGTTTGCTAACACTTGTGCTCTGAGGGCAGTGAGATCCGCTGGTTGTAAACAGACTTGCTGTTATTGACTCTTTTACGGGACTGACCCTGAGTTTTTCCCCTGCAGGGAGAAGTCGGGGTGGATTCTTGATTTTTATCCTAGAAGTCAGTTACTATGAGATCACTGATTCTTTTAGACTAAGAAAGATGTCCGGGGGTTGGGGAGGTTGGAGGACACACCAGGATGATTGGGATTAAATTTGTCCTGTGTGTCCTCAGCTGGGTTTCCTGGCATTTTCTCTGTTGGTGCCTTTTCCCTTTCTTTTGGCCCCACAGTGGGCTTTCTACTCATTGCCAAAGAGCTCTTTGTCTAATTCTCATTACAGGAGAAATTTGGTCCTACAGGCCAGCCCTGGTCTTTTCCGTGGCAAACACTCCCACTTGCCGGTTTCTTGGTGCTGGTGAACTCCTGTTGGCAATACTGGCCCCCGAAGTTGTGCATCTTGATCATGAAATTTCGAGACTCCTAAAAGGCTGGAAAGGAGCTTAAATGACCCATAAAGCTGTTGGCAGCTCTCTAAACATGGTGGGGCGTGGGGTGGCGCAGGGCAGCCTAAAGAAAGGTTTACTGACAGTTTTAAAGAGCAACCCTAAAAGGGAAGGAACCGCAATTTTGTCTTAAAACAAATATTCCTTTAAAATGTGTGACAAAGATATATTTAGTTATTTCTTCCTGTTTAAGGTGTTAACAGGTAGAACTGATTACGTCTGCATAAAAATAGAGATAGAACTGAGCAAAAGAAGGAGATTCTGCCAGACTTTTCAGGAAAGGCTGGTAACGTCTGCTCTGATGCTGGGGGTGAGAGGTGGGTGGGTGTATAAAAAAACCTCCTTTGCCTTCAAGAAGGTGGCCTGTGAGTGTGTCATGGAAGCAAAGGGAGAGAGACACAGAGCAAGATTGTGATCCTTCTCTGCGGCCTTGGCCAAGGGTACCCTCCCAGAGAAGGGCCCGGAGCATTCGGCCATCCCTGCAAGGCCTGGCGGTCTATGGCGAGCTCCTGCTTCCACACCAGCACCTGTGTCTGGCCTGTCTACTGTTGGAATCACCTTACCCTGCCCTGCTTTGACAGTGTGGTGCCAAGCTGAGGGTTGACAACACTGACATGAGAGCTAGGAAAATCTGAGTTTCTATTAGGACCTCAGGTGGATTATTTAACCACTTCAAGCCATTTCCTCATGAGTCAAGGAGAGAACAGAATCTGCCTGCTGGTGGATCATGCGCTCAGTGTGGTGTCTGGCACCCTGTGCGTCTCACAGAGGGTTGGTGGCATCTGTTAAGGAGCCGAGGAAGCAGTGTGCATGGCAGGCTTCCCCTCTCCTTCCTCCCTACCTGTCCCCTCTGTTGGGGAGGGGCCCCGTCAGCTGAGGGCCAGGCCCCCAGGGAGTGAACAACAGGCCCTGGCTCATCAGGCTCGGCACCCACCCTCCTCCCCTGCTGTTCCTTCCCACTCAAGCACTAGGCATCACAAACCCGAATCGGCAAAGGTTTTGAACATCCTTATTTAAAAGAGCTATGAAAGTGCAGAGATGTTTCCTTGAGAAGCTTTTCAACAATATCCATGAAAAATAGATGAAACCTTCCTGATTTGCAGAAGCTTTAGTTGAGGGCAAAAATGTGAAAATACAGCTTCCCCCATCACCTGGGACGAGGTCAGAGATGCAATTGCCCCTTGTTTAACAGTAAACACCAGGTACTGTCTTTAAGGCCAGAAAAAAAGGAACTGCTGATGCTTCTTGGTGACATCACCCTTCCCAGAAGCTTGAACTCAATTTATTTTAATTCAGTTCAGTTTCCACTGGCCTTTCTGTTTTTCTTTTTAAAACATTTCAATAACTATTAAGCTCTCTAAGCATCTGGCTTTATGCCAGTGGGCTTGCTTGAAGATGTATAAAATAGTCAAATAGTCCCTCCCGTTAGAGGGATTATCATGTAGTTCAACAAAGGCAAGACTTAACAGCAAAGAAAAAAAAAAGGCTACAGACAAGTGAGTTTTAAGTACACAAGTTAAGTGCCCATATGACTAGAGGGTAGAGAGGGCCAGGAGTGCCCAGGATTTGTTTTGTCCTCGTGTGTTGGACACTTGGCTTGACTGCACATACAGTGTCTCCTGTTAAGGAGGAAGCATTTCTGTTTCAATTTGCCATTACTGTGGGCGTAATGTTTGGGCACCACTTTTAACGCAGACGGTAGGTTCCCAGAAGTCCCGATCTGCTTTACATTAGTTCATTCAGCTTATTCCAGAGCAGTTGACTTCCTAGGGGTAGCCTTGCCCTTGCTGACACACCTTGAAACAGCACAGTGCAAGGGAGCTAGAGAGAGTGAAAGTCACTTGTCACCCAGGCAGAGAGAGGTGGGCTCCCTGGAGCTTCCACTGGGCCCTGGCTCTCCCCTCGCTCAACACAGTTCAGAGTGTTGATCGAGTGCCGAAAGGCGGAGTTCCTCTGATCTACACGGATGACTTTTCAAAGAGGAGTCACACTGTACGCTCTTGTGTGCGTGTCTGACCATGTTTGTTTACTTCTGATTTAAAGGATAAAAAACCCAAAGAACAAGAAAAAAGAGGAGATTTTCTTCATCGACCGTTCACCAAGAAGTTGGACAAGAACCTGCCCTCGCACAAACAGCCCTCTGCCTCGCTCATCACACAGCTTCAGAACACCAAAGCCCTGCTGAAGGACCGGAAGGCCTCCAAGTCCGGCTTCCCTGACAAAGGTGGGTCAGCTCCGAGGCCCCTCTCAGACCCCTTATGTTAAGCTGCATGTTGGCTGCATACCCCTCAGGGATGGCCATATGGCCCTGGGACAGACCTGATTCTTGGGCCCATGGGAGAGTGGAGGTGCAGACCTCAAGTGGCCCAAGAACAACCAAGGCCAAACTGGATGGGGTAGGCCACTTGTGCTGGAGGGAGTTGACGTGGAGCATGATGTGATGGAAACAGACTGGGGTGCACAATAGTGCAAGAACAGGGATTAGGGTGCACAGTGCTACAGGAGCAGAGATTGGGGTGCACATTACTGTGGATCAGATATGGGGTATGTGGGACATGGGAGCAGAGACTGGGGTATGTGTCACTGTAGGAGCAGAGATTGGGGTATATGTTACCATGGGAGCAGAGATTGGGGTACGTGCTACCATGGGAACAGAGATTAGGGAGCTTGTTACTGTGGGAGCAAAGGAGAGTGCGTGAGGTGTTATAAGAGTGGAGGTCAGGGTGCAGGAGCAGAGATCAGGTGTCCCCATGGTGGTCCCAGGAAGGGACCATTTCCCATTTCCTGTGAAAAGGTAATGTGCTGAGTCTGGGCCCTGAGAGTCTGTTCAGACCCGAGTTCAAATCCCAGCTCCACTGCCCTCTGAGGCCTTGGTTCCCTAACAGCTGACATTTGTCACCAGGTCCCTTACTCATAGTGGCTCCCGCCCATCACAGACAACTGAGAAATGTGTCTCTCTCCTCTGGGACGAGCATCAGAGCTCAGTGGGCATAGGCTCAACATGAAGGGGAAAACCACTGAGAGAGACGGGACACCGGAGCTGGGGGTGTCCTGAGGCACAGCTGGGAGGCAGAGGAGAGATTGTTCTTATTGGGGAGGGATGGGCAAGACCACGGAATTCCATCTCTGTTGCACATGAGGACATCAAGGTTCAGAGAGACTATGACTGTCTGCCATCAGCCCTGAGTGGGACTCAACACCCCTCCTGTCCCCTCCCTCCCAAATTGCTCCTAGACGGAAGCCACTGACCCCACGTTGCCCAAAGCAGCCTGCCTGCCGTGCAGCAGAATCCCTAGGGGACCTTGGAGGGGGCTGGTGCCCACATGCCAGTTGGGGCACTGGAGATGTCAGCATTAATGAAGTTCTACTTCTTTCGAAAGCTGGTGAATCTCAGGCGACAGTGGGACTGTTTTCTTTTGGTGTCTGTGTACTTATTTACATAAGGCCAGGAGGCTTCCCAGTGCCCTCAGCTGCTCCTAAATCACTCCCAGTGGGCAGCAGCTGGCTCTTGCATCTGGGCCTCGATGGGGCCTATAAAATGTTATGGGAGAAGAAAGAAGCTAATACAGAGCTTATTCCACATGAATTTGGCTTCATTTCTCTCGGCTCCAAATCTGTAGGGGGTTTCCCCTTGCTTTTCTGGCATAGTTTGCAAACCCGGATTCTAGTCTGTGCCAACTTGAGATGGAAACCGTGGGGGTTGGCTGGGTGCCTTGACTATAAGGAGGAAGAGTGTTCTGCCCCTGCTCAGAATTGGATGAGGCTCTGTCAAGATCAAAAGTCACGTGGAGCTTTAAAAGGGAAGGAAATCCTGACACATGCTGCACCGTGGACGAACCTGGGGGACGTTGTGCTAAGTGAATTACGCCAGCCACAGAAGGCAGATTCTGAGTTCTCTTATGTTAGGTCCCTGGAATAGTCAGATTCACAGAAACAGACGGTAGAATGGTGCTCGGCAGGGGGCTCGGGGAGTGGGGACTGGGGTGTTTTTGTTTAATGGGTGTAAGGTATTAGATTCGCAATAGGAAAAGAGCTCTGGAAAGTGATTCCATAGCACTGTGAACATACTTACCACCTCTGAACTGTACATTTAAATGGGAAGGATGATAAAAGTTCTCTTATGTGTTTTTTGCCACAATAAACTTTTTTTAAAAAGTCCAGTGTGGGCTGTCCAAAGACCAGCTTGGCAAGGGGCTCGGTGTGCTTCCGAGAGTTTTATGGATATTCCTGTCGAGCATATGGACCTTTTTTATTCCAAGGCCCTTTGGCAGGGTCCAGAATTTTAAGCAACCAGATGATAAGCTGGGGCCATAAGGCAAACTGGGATCCAGGAGATGTCCTGTCTCCAGCTTTTTGTCGTGTCCACCCTAGAAAGACAGTCCGGGCCCCTGGGCCCCTGTGGGGAGAGTCAGGTGCTGCTGGCAGAGTAGCCAAGGCTGTTCACTAGTCGGTTCCTTCCAGCCTAAGTGTGTACCTGTCTCAGCCAAGCTCGGGGTCTGAGCAGGCAGGAGGGGGCTTCACCCTATGTGGCTGTCGTCACGGTTTGTGTTCTTTCTTGGTATGCAGATTCCTTTGGCTGCCGCAATATTTTCCGCAAAACCTCTGATTCCAGTTGTGTGGCTTCTTCTTCCATGGAATTCATCCCTGTCCCACCCCCGAGGACCCCCAAGATACTGAAGAAACTGGAGCCCCACCAGCAAGGGCCCGGGAGCACCAGCATTCCCCCCAAGGAAGACCCCCTGATGCTGGACATGGTACGCTCCTTCGAATCTGTCGATCGTGATGACCACATAGAACTCCTGTCTCCCTCTCATCATTACAGGATTCTGAACTCCCCAGTGAGCTTGGCTCGCAGAAATTCCAGCGAGAGGACCCTCTCCCCAGGGCTGCCGTCCGGAAGCACATCGCCTCTCCAAACCCCTTTGCATCCCACTCTGGTCTCCTTCACTCATGAAGATAAGAGCAGCCCCCCCAAAGAGGAAGGTGTGTGCTCCCCACCTCCAGTTCCCGGCAGTGGCCCCACACAGCCTCTGGGGAGCCCAAACTGCGTGAAAAGCCGAGGCAGGTTCCCTATGATGGGCGTCGGGCAAATGTTGAGGAAGCGGCATCAGAGCCTGCAGCCATCCGCAGATAGGCCCCTGGAAGCTGGCATGCCCCCGCTGCAGCCGGCAGCCCCCACAAGCCTGTCCTTTGATGTGGCTGATGGGCTCAAGAGCCAGTGCTGACTTGGGCTGGCAGGATTCTAGGTATCTCTCAAAAAAACCAATGAATTGAACAGCACTGCACGCGTCCATCGGTGTGTAACCAGTCAAAGACCTTGAGTGGAGTGCCCTTACGGCCCCATCTGTTCCTGCCGTGCGATCCCACCTGTAGTTGATACCCACAGACCCAAGTCTGCACTTTCTGACCTCGCTTAGGGACTCCGGAGATGCTGGAAACTGAGACGAGTGTTGGCTCCAGGGGCAGCTGCTTCCAGACATTCAGAGTCCCGCTTCCTCCTGCCTTCCCACCCATTGCTGGGCTTGCTGGGGAAACTGCTTCAGCCTCGGGCCGCCCAGATCACAGACTGTTATCAGACATTTCTTCACTCTGTGCTACACGTGTGCCTCCCAGAAGATTGTCCTCTTCTCAGCCGTTGGCCACAGGCATATGGGGACTGACAGCGTCACAAGTCATTCAACCAGGCACAGTCTCCTCTGCTGAGTGAAGCCCTCCTTTCAGAGCAGTGATTGCTAATGGATGGCAGGAGATGGAGACAGGGACGGGGGTGGGCCTGGAACCTTCAGGAGGACAGAAAGGAGCTTCAGGCAAGGATGGACCCAAACAGTGGGGCCTTGTGCAAAGATAAGGACCAGAGGAAACACTCAACTTCCCAAGCAAGGTTTTGACAGATTTTCTTTTCTTTTATTGAAACTTGCTAATGGTTGAATTATCTTCTTCAAAGAGATTTTTCTTTACATGATGTCAGTAAATTAAAATAACATCTATGTATATTTTTTTTTTTGAGAAGAGTCTCTGTCATCCTGGTTAGGGTGCCATGGCATCATGGTAGCTCACAGCAACCTCCAATTCTTGGGCTTGAGCCATCCTCTTGCCTCAGCCTCCTGAGTAGCTGGGACTACAGGCATGTGCCACACTATACCTGGCTAGTCTTTCTGTTTTTTCAGTGGAGACAGGGTCTTGCTCTTGCTCAGGATGGTCTCAAACTCCTGAACTCAAGGGATCCTCCTGCCTCAACCTCACAGAGTGCTAGGATTACAGGTGTGAGCCACCTTGCCTGGCTTTATAATTTTGAAAAACCTGGATGGAGAAATGATAACCAAGTCCACCTAACTCGTGTTTTTGTAAGAGATGGCCCCATGGAGAGCAGAAAAGCTCTCTCCCACGATGGCTGTGGCCTGGTGGCAGAGGGGTAGAATCCCAGATGCCTTGTGTTTATCCCATTGTATCAACATGGCCCTGACCCTTCCAGAGGTGCAGAACATAGTTCCAGTTGGTCCTTAAGAAAGAGAGAAAGGATGGTTGTGGCAGGATTCAGAGCAGGGTTCAGAGGACAGGAAGGCACCATTACCTCTGCAGTGTGGTTTTCAAGCTGCCCAGAAAGCAAGTGCAGGTTAGAGCACTGCTGGTTTGCTGTGAGGTGTCAACAGTGTGCCTGGCAGGGGACTGCTCGACACGGGCTCAGCAGCCCTCCTCACGCAGGGTTCCGTCCACACTGTGTTCTCACGCCTTCCACCCAGGATCGAACCAAAGATGCATCTCCGGTTTTGTGTCTGTTGTGTCCCTGTGTGTGCGTTTTGTGGACTTCCATTTGTCTGACTGTGTCCAGCTGAAGCCTGGTGGAGGCTGTCCCTACCTGGGGCCTCAGCCCTGGCACCTGGCAGGTCACAAACAGAATCAGAAGAAGGATCCGACCACAAGTTGGATAGTAGTTGGCTTAGGAGACTGGTCACAGAATGGCCTGGAATCTTCCACTTTTGATTGGTGCAAATGTGACGAGAGGTCACCACTGTTGTCACCCTGGGGTAGTCATCTCATCCATTGATTGTAAACAGGGCTGAGGCCCTGGAGAATTGCAAACCAGCCTTTATTTTCCTGGCAGCCAGTCCTTGCCAGAAAAGTGGTTCTTGATCATTTTCTCATTCACCACTGGTGACTTCCTCTGGCCCCTCACATCTCTGATTACGCAAGAAGAGAACGGAGCAGATAACATAGATTTGGCTGACTGCAGAAACCCTTTACTCTCAGGCTTGGCTGACCATGGCAAGACCTGGAGCTGCTTTGCCCCTCCCGGGTAATCACCCTCGCTCTAGGGCGTGTTAGGAGGAGGTCAGACTGCTGGCTATTGGTGTCATTCTTTCCTGGAGTTTCAGACAGGATTCCAGAACTCAACATTGAAAACAGCTTTTTAAAAGAGAGAAGAAAAGAAATCATCTCAGACTGACCCTCCCTCCATCTGACAGCTGCCTCTGTCCCCTCTGCAAGCTCAGAGTGCACCTGTGCATTGCGAACTTTTCTGGAGCCCCCATGTCTGTTTCCCAAATTGTGCTTTCCCCAGAACAGGAGAGTTTCTGCGTGGCTGTTAACCTCGTGGAGAATGTGCTTCCGGTTGCTCGCATGCTTCAGGAACAGCTGCAGATGCTGCGCCACTAACTGTGCCACAATCGGCAGCCTGGACTCTGAACTCAGGTTTATTCTGAACCAGTGAGAGGTGGGGGAGGGGGAGGCAGGGGGAAAACTGTATTTTTGTGTGTGCACCTGACAAATCTATGAAACCAAGTGAAAGAAAAAAAGTTAAATTCTTTATTATTTTATTATATTTATATGGAAAACTTGACTATCCCTTTGGTAAGTACCAGATGTATTGTCTGACCCACGGCTCTCTCCCTTAGTCTGTGCTCTGATTCCATTCGGCCTGTAGTTACTGACAGAAATAGACAGAAGTGTCGTTGTGTGAAGTCCAGAGGAAAAGTCCATTTTAATTGTATGATTTGGTCGTAAGTAAGGACTGTGTTTGTGTCACCATCATGGAATATATGTACTTTTGTAATGACTGTGAAATACACTTTTTGCTCACTATGGCTGCTGCTTTATTTGCTGATAAATCTTAATGAGGTACTACGTACATTGCAAATAGAAATGCATCGTTTATGTAAAGTTCTTGGCCTCATAGAACTGACGGGATATAAGTGGAGGTGGAGTTGGAGGGCATCTGGGGGGATTTTCTGCTCCAGAATTTCTGCCTCATTTGACCTGCAACAGGTGTGCCTTCAAAAGTCCATCTGATGGACACACTGCAAATGTCAGTTTGAGATGGATCAAAAATTTTCATTTTGGGGAAGATCCTGATGGGGACTCAGAAAATGGCACATGAAAAATGACATCAATGGATGTGACTTGTAGATTTTCTTCTTGTTTTAAACCTTGGTCAGGGACAGGGGACGAGGGGTAATGAGAGGGAATGGGGAGGTGTCCAGATTACCTGTTTGGATTGTTCCAGTTGCCACTTTATTCAGAATTGTGCACAGAACTATTTTCACATACACCACCTTGCCTAAGCCCTATGTCCCCACCCTGTACAGTGAGGGGACAAAGGCTCAGAGGGTCAAATGACTAGGATGTAAAGAAGCTCACTGTTCCCACGCACAAAGCTTTCTCTGAAATTTTTGGGGAAAAGAACATGTATCTCGTTTTGGTGACAATATTTTTGTGTAGAAACCACATTTTAAAACAGAGATGTGAGATTCTCTGGTTCAACCCCAGCCTTTTCGAAGAAGGGAAAACTAAGGGCTTAAATGGTTTAAGGACACCCCAAGAGTCCCCAGATGAGCTGGTACTAGAGCCAGTCTGGAGCACAGGGCTCCTTCTTCAAAGAACACAGAGAAATCAGAGCATGGTGGCTGTCTGGTCACAGGGGAGGGTCAACAGTAGATCAAGCTGTGGTTACAGCAGATATTCTTTGAGATCTCTGCAAGGCTCAGGTCTTATGTTTTGAAACCATTTTCAAAATTGTGCCACTTCTGAAGACGCTGAGCCCTAACCTCTTGCTGCCATCCAACCTCAAAGCCAGAGAAAGACAGCTCTCTTTGGGGACTCATGTCTTTCTCTATAAATTTCCTAAGGAAGAAACAACCCCTGGACAGCCTTGTCGTCCCAGCTAAAAGGCTATTGGATTTTACCAGAATAAATCATTAAAACATTTTTCTATGGAGCCATATCATAAAGCGAGACAAATTCAGAAAGAATGCAAAACTGATATATGTGTGGGGAGGTCTGGGCGCCTCTTGGTTATTGTATTTGTTTTCTTCGTAGGATCCTCTGTGTGCTACAGGCATAGTAGGAATAATTTAGAGCAGGACTGGGAGCTGGTTCAATTTCATGTCATCACTTTTCAATGAAAGCAACGTATTTCCTGAGTAGTAAATGAGTGTATTATTTGTGGCAGTTTTTCTGTCAAGGGAGCTTTTCAGACATCTGGTTCCAAAGACAAATGGGGTATATATTTGTACTTCTTCTCTGTGGACATGTTTTCATGACACACAGTTACCTCTAAGACTTGATGTTGGTGGGCACTAGGGGCCTGGGGGAGGGGCTTTGGGAGAGAAGATGAAGAACATTTCAGGCTCTGCAATCCCCCTCCACAGGTGTTCACATCCGAGTTGGTGTTCAGATAATGAAGCATTTGGAGGAACCAATTCTGGAAGCAGAGAATAGCTGGATGTGTGACAAACTTGAAGATCAACTGGGGTTGAGTGGTTTAACCCACTGCACAGAGGATAATGCCAGGGAGGCGTGTTATTTACAGGTGATGAAATAAATGGCTGTTCCTTAAGGACCTGAGCTACTTGTGTATCCTACATGGAAGATGGGCCTTAAGCTATTTATTTATTTATTTTGAGACCAAGTCTCGCTCTGTCACCCTGAGTGGAATGCTACGGCATCATCGTAGCTCACAGCAACCTCAAATTCTCGGGTTTAAGCAATCTTCTTGCCCCAACCTCCCGAGTAGCTGGGACTACAGGCTTGTGCCACTATGCCCAGCTAGTTTTTTTCTATTTTTAGAAGACATAGGGTCTCACTATTGCTCAGGCTGCTCTCAAACTTCTGAGCTCAAGGGATCCTCCCACCTTGGCCAACCAGAGCGCTAGGATTACAGGTGTGAGCCACTGTGCCTGGCCGGCCTTAAGCTATTTTGAAAGCAAAGGCTTTGGCTTATATTTAAACT